GTCAATAGTTCGTACGGCTAGATACTCCTCCCAACTTAGGGCAGGGAGGGCAGGACATCTTCCGACAAAATTCTTCGCCTCTTCCATCAAAAACATGCAACATTTAATGTGAGCGGCTGACACTTTAAGCGTCTCGTCAGGATCACTGCCATAAAGTGAATTGAGTCCACTGCAAAGTCCTCTCAGAACCACCAACACTCGCCGATCTTCGCCCGAAAAAGAAGGGTGTTCCACGATCGAGTCAACGGGAAAGGGCAAGAGGTTTCCCATGGTCTTGACCTTGCAAAGCTTAAAAAGTGACAAGTCATGAACCCACCCCTCAACGAACGAATCGAAAGTGCTCGAATCCCGCGCCGCTCTTTTTTCTGCATCCATCACGGACGGCAAAGGGTTCGGAGCCACCAAGCTGGCACTCTCGGCTGCTCCTTCTGTACGTGACCACCTCTTCAAAGGGGTAGTGCAAACCTCAGGCTCATACTGGCTGTCCTGAGTCTTCTTCTCTTTGACATCTTGGCAGGCTTTCGCAGGCTCTTTCTCCTCAACCTCTTTTCTCATCCTCTTCAACTCTTCTGAGATCTCATCTTCTGCAAGGCCAGTCACTTCTCGGCTTTGTCTCCGCGAGCGCGATCTTTGTCTCCTCCTTTGGACTTCCCATCTTTGCTCTTCATCTTTCCTTTTCCCTTCTCGCCCTTCTGGTCGCCTTTTCCGCCCTTCCAGGAGCTGTGCTCCCAGGCTCCCTTCTGGAGTTGGCGGCTTTTCTGTTCTTCTCGGCTTTCTCTTGCCACTGCTGTCGCCTCCGCCTGTGAGGCCAAGCTTCCCAGGTCCATCGGCACGATCTCGAACCGCTGTGACATCTGCCACGACGAGCCGCTCGCCATGCTCTCTAGGGCCTTGAGCCTCTGCACCAACACGTCTGCTGCATGTGCTGGCTGGCAGCTCAAGAGCGCGTCCAGCGCTGCTGAGATGTTCAGAGCCTCGCGGGCCATCACCGGCGTCATCTTGGGCCGTAGGATTTGTCTGTAGAATTGCAACCCGACAGCTCCCACGGGGCTCATCTCCAGGCCTTCTTGTCCTTGTTCCTGCAGCATCTGTTTTCGCATTTGGCGAATGGCGTGATACGCCAGGGCTCCGGGGCCTGCTTTGGAGGCCAATTGTGTCCTCTGACTTTCCTGAAATAGGTCCTCCATGCCATCTGCTGCCTCTGAGGTCGAACTTGTCCCGGTGGAGCTCGAACTCTTTGACTTCTTCTTCATGGCACGCCTCGCCAGGCGGGAAACTTTCTTCCGGGTACGAGCGTCTTGATCTAGGCCCGTCCCCTTGTACAAGGCTGCATGCTCCTTCTTTCCTGCTGGCCTGAATGCCTTCTTCTTCTTTTTCTTTCGACCTCCACTGGTTCCGCTGGAACTTCTGGCGTCTCTCCTTGCTGGTGGCTGAGCTTCTCCTTCCTTCTTCTCCACCTCCTTCACCTCTTCCACGTCGCGAGCAAGAGCGTCTGAGCGTGCCGCCAACCGTCGGAGTTCCTCCATCCCCGTCGGCTCTTTGAGATTGTCGGCCCAAGGCGGGCTGTCCGCACCCCGGTACTTCACCTTCTTGAGATGGAGAATGTCGTCCCCCTCTGGGATGTTGGCGCAGTCCTCCAAGCATATGTGGCATCTCAAGGGCGTCCCGGCATTCCCTGACACCCATCGGAGAAGTCCCTCGTCCTGGGTTCCTGTCACCCAAGTCATAACCTCCAGAGCTCCTCCTTGAAATCTCAGGGCATCGACCTCGACCGCGATGGCAATCTCCCTGTTGTAGTAGACCCCCATTCCCAGGAGTTGAAGCCCTGGCTTCCATACTCCCACTGGGATCTGGTGGGCGGCCACCTCTTCTCCAGCCTCAAAACCAGTCGATCGCTCTCCTGCAGCTGCCGGTCTCCTTCGAAGGGCTCCTTCACGGCCAGCTCCTCTGTCTGCGTCTCCTCTATCTCGACCTCCTCGAAACCTCCCCTCTGCCGCTGGCCGTCGCAACGGCCTAGGAGGCATCCAACCTCCTTCTACCAGCGCTCCTCTCTTTCTTCGCGGGCCTTTCTCTTCTCGGCCCGACGCTCCGCCACGTAGTCCCTGAAGTATCGCTGAGTCTCAACCTTCTTCTTTCCCTTGTTCTTCGCTCCTTCGTATGGCCGATACTCGGGGCTGTCAGGGGGTCCACGATAGACAGGTCGAGCTGGCACCAGAATGGTTTGTCCTGTAAACCCAGGAGGGGGGATTCGAGGGAGATCTCGGTCTCCTGACCTCCCGATGCTCCACCCTCCCCTCTGGGGCGTGGCTAGGCTTGATCACCTTCTTCTCGGCCTTGCTGTCGCCCCTCCTTCGTCGACGATGGGAACTCTCTCCTCTTCTCTTGACCTTTGGAGACCTTGTACGACTCGCCTCACTTCTTCTTCTTCTTCTTCGACGGTGAGGAGATGTTGGTTCCACCTCCCTTACACCGTGACCCTCTGTGCGCTCTTCTTCAACCTCTCCACTAGCCTTTGGTTCTGCCTCCACTTCTGCTTCGGGTTGATGAGTCTCAGCCTCGTTGACCTCCTTGTGAACTGCCTTGCTCTCTGCTGACTCTTTCTTGTCTTGTGGATCTATCGAGTCCTCTTCGTCCTCCTCTCTTTTGACTGCAATGCCTCCGGGATGATGTTCTCCTGCTCCGCCTGGTTCTGATGCCTCTGCCGCTGATGTCTTCTCTTCTGTAGGTTCCTTGGGGTCTTCCACCTGCTTCTCAACCCCCTGTCCTGCTGCTGCCGGTCCGACTCCTTCCTCTGCACGTCCAGCGCCTTTGCCACCCACCTGGGGAGGAGGACGTGCCAGGTCCTCCCGTTCCCCAGGATTTGCCTCCAGGAAGTCGCTGAGCTCCCCGATGAGGTTCCTCACCCGCACGGTCGCGTAGTCCACGAACCTCGGGCTGACCTTCGCGAGCCCAACGATCCGGTGGAAGCGCTCGATCGACGGGCACAGGCTGCAGCCGCAGGTAGGGGGGGTGCCCCCACATTCACACGCTGAGCCAGTGCTGCGGTAAAAACTCTCACTTGACTTCCCTACGCCTTTAAACACGGGGGCGTATTTACATATGTAAATTACTTTACATAAACATAATAATCTAGCCAATGAAGTTGTCTAATCTAGAGCTTGAGATTTAGCATGGTGGTCATGTTAATGTTGACCTATCATGCAAGTTCACGGCAGGAATTGCTGTGCCAAAAGAGATTGCTTAAACTGACTAGAATGAAGAGATATCAAGAGGAGAATTGCAGTGTGCCAAGTGCGCCTTGGCACGCTCTTGGCTTTCCCAATCCTCACCCCGGGACAAAGAGCGCTCAGCGACCTGTGGTTGGCAAAACATGTCCAGCCCAGATGTTAGCACCGATGTGGTCCAAATCTAGCAAAGATATGCAAAGATGGAACAAGTTGACAAGCAGAGTTCATGTGCGGCCTGATCTGATCGCTTGAACGCGTGAAGGATGCTGGAAAGGAAGCCAAGAAGCACTGCCACTCCTGATCGCGAGCCGAAGAGCTCTAGCTAGCCCTAGAGCCCTAGCGAGCCCTCGCGAGCCCTCGCGAGCCCTAGCCCCCCAGAAAACCATCTGGAGGAGCTTGCGAAGAACTCTAGGCCACCCTTTTGGAAGGGCAAGAACTGGCTTTGCTTCATCAAAACCATCAATTCACTATTGAAGATGTGATAGTCAAGTACAAGTTTGGTAAGCCTAAACCAAATATGTGCATGGCACTCTCCTCGAAGCAGTGCGATATCAATCTGTACCAAGGCGGGGAACGTCATCAAACGACTTGGAACAAACGGCTTGAGGCACCTCCAGGTGCAGGATCTTCCGGAGAACCCCTGACAGAAAAGTCTGAAAAAGATCTACAGTAAACACTAGTCTGAACATGGGGCTTCCGGGAGATGGGAGGTGAAAACAGTGCTCAACTTGCTCAACCAACTACTTCTCCAACTTCATGTAAGACCGTTCTTAGTGCAAAACAATAAGATGGGCACAGTGCAGAAGTTCAATAACATGTCGCAACATGTCGCAACTTCACTGTCGCTTCTGTTCCTGCGTGTCACGTTGGCTCTTAGGTGCAAGACGGAACATGCTCCTGCTTGGAACCACCTGAGTCTCATCCCCGTCAGTTTGAAGTTGACTGGTTTTTTGCAGGCTGAGTTTGCTCCACGTTGCCCGTTTTTTGCAGGCTTGGGACTGATCACAAATATTGGTAGCACACATCCGTCGCAATCAATGGACATTTAGCCCATGAAATGCCCATGCAGCTTGACGCAACACCACGAATTGCGTAAGCCTTGGTGAAGTTGTTGTTGGATTGGGTTTGGGTCTCTGTCCAGTTGGCTAAAAAAGTGAGATCACCAACTTGTCTCTGCGTGTCTCAGACCCCAGCTGCGAGGTGGAGTGAACATCACCTGGTGAGCTGAAAGTGGATCGCAACGTTCGACGCTGCGTCATTCTAGAAATCACCCCTCTGATTGCTTTCAAAGACTGCGGCCAAAGTAGAACACCGAGAAAACCAAATATATCAAAGTGATTGGGTGTACTGCCAGACTGAGCCAAACCAACCATCTTCCTCTGGTCATGGACTCCTGGTGCCAACTCACCGTATCCAAGCCTTGGGAGGTGTCTGAAGACATGGCTGTCTAGCGGCCTGACATGAACGAAACATGCCCAATCACGCCCAAATTCATAGGCTTGGCTCTATGACTTCATGGCTAGTGGCTAGCCGCAGGCTAGGCTAGCCACGTGGTTTAAGGTCCAACAAATCATGCTGGATCATGATTGAACAAAAAAAGAACTGCTCAGCTGCGTTCCTCCCTACTCCCTACTACCTTACAAAGCAAGCATCAATCCGGCTCTTGCCCGGGGCTAGGAGTACAAACTTGTTTGACTTAGATCATCGCCCATGAGCCAGATGAATTAAAATGATCGATGACACATTCCATGAGACCCTGGTGCACAACGTAGTTCCCATCGGTGGCATTGTCCAATGGTTCTAAGATCTGTCTTCTGCTCTTCTTGGAAGGTCCAGAAATGGGTGTTTCTCGTAAACTCCTCCGTCGCACTTTAAATTGCTGGGCGAACTGGCTCCCGAACGGGACCAAAACAAGCTGTACAACAAGCAAAATGCCCATTTCAGGGTCAAGGAACATCAAGTTATCAGTCATGAGGGATCTCTATCCCAATGATTGTCTACAAGGAACTATTTAAAATAAGTCTTCAGTTTCCTTGCACAAGTTGGATATGTTGCACTTCCAGTCGTTGGCAGCATGGAAACTGTTGGATGTTGAGTTGAGTTGAGTGAGTCTTTCATATCTTTCATGCAACTGCCAAATGCTTCATGTCATGTGATATCCATTTGGACTGTTGGAAGAGACTGGAAATGCTGGCACGTGCGCCAGTGCGGCATCCATCTGCACTAATGCCGAAGCATGTATCCCAGCCACTGTAAACCCTAAAACACTCGCCATCACCTAGTCTATTCTCGTCTCAGAATCGCCTCCTTCCGAAAACTCGTGCAATTGCCGCAAGAATCCGAGATTTGGACTGGCTCTTGGCCGACAGTTCTTGAGCTCTGCAAGAACCTCATCCACAGTTGCCCTTTGGGAACTTTGCCCTTTTGCTTTGTGCAACAAATACGCAGCTGCGATGGTGGCTGAACGGCTTTGTCCATGCTTGCAATGAATCAAGACATGGCCATCTTTCTTTTGCAAGGACTCTTCGATAAATCTCACGCTCGCCGCAAAATGTTCCGAAATCTGAACGTCGCTCGAATCATCCACAGGCACCCGGAGTCTTGCTGCAAGCTGTACATCGAGGTCGGCTTTGATTGGTTTCTGGACTGTGTCCTCAAGCCTCAGCTGCTTGATCGGCATTCCAACGCTGGTTGAAACTGCAACAGTCGGAGTTCGATTGTGCTTTTGAGGGGACCTCGCTTGACATACGCGTCTACACACATGCCAGGAAGCATTGAAGAGCTCTTGTCTCGCGGCTTGGAGCGCAAAGTAGACACCACATCATCAACAAAGGGTAAATCTCTTGAGCAATTCACCACGTAGTGGATTCCCAGGGCATGGTAGGTATGCGGGTCGCTGGCAACTCCAAAGTTGCTGAGGAAAACCCTACCATCATCTGCTGTAGCCACCAGCGAAGGATATAAACGTCCAAGTTCGAAAAATGGATGACCTTCATGCAGAAACGGAAAGGACCGATAAAAGTCTTCAGTACTGCCAGCAAGTTCACAGACTTCTTTCACTAAGGAGTCACTTCGCTTGGTCTCGTCCCGGGTGAAACCAAAGCCATTGGCGGAAATCCATTTGTAGAGACCTTCTGCTGCTCGGGCCTGGCGACCCTCGCGACCCAGCACCGCGATGGTCCAACCTCTAGCGCGGCGATTCACCATAACCTGCAGGGGGACACATCGACGGTCGGGGCTCATCCATGAATGGCACACGTGCACAGCACTATCCTGACTCCAGGATAGTCCCCAACAAAGCCCACCCAGCAATGCAAGTCCGCCAAAGTGAGGCGGAAGCATAGGACTCACAAGGAAAACAAAAACGGTTGAGAGAAGAGACTTGCAGTCCCAGCTGTCTTGCTTATTGCTGCATTTTACATTTTTGGACATTCTCTCTTTCGTCGTATCAACACCATGTCACCTGCCTTGCGAAGAAGCCTCTTGCATAGCTGCGGTGACATGAAGTTGAGTTCTGTAGTCTCCAAGATCTCGCCGACGTCATCAGCATGATCTTCTTTGTCCACATCGACCACCAGGAGCAGTTCTCGTGTGTCCTGGATGAACCCCAAAATCACCTCGAATGGCAACAAAGACACGCAGTTGGAACGCTACTGGAAAAGCACTTGGAAAGCATGGTTTGGTTGGAGGAACCGAGAAACCCATGGATCTAGGACTAGGACTTTGTCTCTGAGCTCCTGAAGCTTATTGTAGAGCTCGGCGGGAGTCAATTTCTTCAACACGATGTTGCCCATGACATTGCCCATGGTGTGCAAGGCTTGAGACCTTTGTATATGTATGTATATATGTATGTACATAAATATGTGTATAATTGTGTATATACTGTATATAGTATATAGACATAAGTGGATAGATACAGTAGATCAAATGAAATCACCACAAATTCACACTCTTGCAGCCAAGGCTGCCTAGGCCTAGGCACTTCACACGCACATCAACCAAGAATGATGTTTGAGAGGCTAAGAATCGTATCCCATGTCAAGCAGGGGCTGGAAATGGCTGCAGTTGGCCGAGTCCCGAAGAATGAATGACTGCAACCGGCAACCGGCCAATGGCCCAAGGTCAAGCTTAGAATGCTCACACTCGTGTCAATGTGTTGTAGTGGTCCCAATGGATGGCCCAAATTTCAGCTGTGCTCAAAAGGTCATCTATCTGCTATGTCTTGTCATCTTGACGAGCACAAAGACAGCTTAGGTGGCCTACGCCTAGCTTGCGCGAGCGCAAAGACAGCTTACGCGCTTACGCAGGTCCTGGATGCCAGGAGCTTACGCAAGCTTATGCAAACCACTAACCAGGGTTGGGCTTACACAAGCACTACTAAGCTCCTCACTGAAACTGACCAGGGGTGTTTTCATGGCTCATTGTCAAAAAGTCGTCAATTTGAGAACTTCTTGAGTCCAGCCTCAGTGGATGGCGAAGATCCCTTGGCCTCAAGGGATTGGAACGGAGTCGCCTGGCGCCATCGCTTCGAATGGTTATGTAAATTGAAAGTTGACCTTGATACGAACTTTAAAGTCATTCCTCATTTTCACCCACTCAACACTGTTGAGACCAAACGACTGAAAATATATACTAGAATCGCCCAACTCTGCAAACCTGAACCCCAGGGAAAAAGTTGAGACAACAGGTGTGCAAAGAAAACAGGACTCCAACAAGATCCAACAAGAATGTCTTTGGCAGACTCAGGTGACTGGATCCATCATCCTATTCTTCGAATTTTTCCAATTCACTTCGGTTCCGCATGCGACGACATGGCGGGTGCCTTAGATACCTACCCACGTCGAGACCTGGCAGAGTATTTTTTAAATATTCCTATATACTTCCAGTTATATCTGAAATAAAAATTCTGTGAACTGACCAGTTAGTGGAATAGTTGTAGGGTTTTTATAT